AATTTCTCTAAATATCCTTTTAGGTAGAATTTAGGAATCTTGTTATGTCCAAACCGGGCTATGTTTACATCCATATTTAGTAATACTGCAATTCGGGAGATACCTGAAGATGATATTTCGCCTGTAATAAATATGCTTCACTACTTGGGTGCTATTAAATTTCTCAATTGGAGGTCATAAACAAGTGTATCTATTTCAAGAGGTCTCTTCGGATGTTTTCAAATATGGAAAATATTTTAGGGATCAAAAATCATCAGCCACCTGGTTGCTGGACTTGAAACAATATACTCGTGGACTGTAAAGTATCAGTTGTCATCCCAGCACTTCGGATGTATCTACTTGTTGATCTGTCTTCACGTGTCTTCACGATTCTATTACAAGAGTTGATATACGATCCGAGCAAGACATGAAAAAGAGAGGGGGTGTACAATGTACTAGGCGGCTATTTTATTACAATACACTATAATGTTACAATACATTATAACCCAACGTAATAATCAATGTACAATATACAACAAAAACATAGAGTGAATTATAAAACTCTATGTACTCAACTATATAGTTTGGAGCATGTGCCAACTAAATCATAACTGTTAACTGAAAGTTGACGCATACTTTTTTATAAAAATATATTTTTTGTATAAACTAATATGAACTACATCGATGTACATATGTTTCGTTTGAATTAGGACACTACTATGAGAGTGGGTGCTTCCAAGGTAAATTCGTGAATACTATTGTGAAAGCACGTCAGCTAACGGTGGTGACGTGCATTTGCCGAGTTGCGTGTTCGAATCACGTGTTGCAAGTTCATAAATTCGTATATATGCCTGTAATTTGGATTCATTCATTCATTCTTTTATTCAATCAATTGCCAATCGGTCATTGTTTTGTAGGAGACAAAAGTATGCACGACTCGTTTGACATTTTACAGGTAATTTACAACATTGTTGATTTATTTCTGGCCATAAAAGATCATATATTGCCAATGGATTACTATGTTTGACAATGACCATGAATAACAAAAGTTAACATAAATACCATAGGTGACAATGACCATGTTTAAATTGTTTCGACCACCATGTTTAATAGGCAGAGTGTGTCCAATGTTGCTTGTTATGTGTTATGGCCTTTTTAACCTTAGCTAGAACGTGGTACATATGTTATGTTAACTCGTTATGAATACAACTAGGTTTATAAGACTCTTGGCACATAAAGTCTTTTCAAATCAACGTTTGTCGGCCCATATTTGCATGCGAGTTGGTTCATTTGTATCCCATCATATTGGTGTTTGCCTGGTATTGGACGAATGAACAATCAGTCACTATTGATAAATATCTGTCTATAAGAGTTGTAATTATATGTTGATTAAGCTGTTCCAACATTGATTAATTTCATCTGACCAAGTGATCACCATACTGTGCTAGTCTATTGCGCCATGATTGTTCGTGGTTTAAATACTTGTTTTCTAGCAATGCCCTTTTTCTTATATTAAAATTGTGTTTCCAAGTACTACATTGTCTGACTCAGCCTATGTAATTATAATATGTGTGGTAGGGGCAATTCAATAGCTATCTTCCATGATGTTTTTTTTTTTACTTTTGTCTTAAATCATCATTGTTCCCTGCATTGACAATTCTGTTTTGGATAACCGCCGACAGTTCTGATAAACAATGCATGTTTATTGTAATAATTGTATTTGCTTTAACTGAAAACGTATTGTGTAAAATACTTTGCATCCTATTTTTCAAGCTATTTTTTCACAATTGTGGGGTAAAAATAAGTATAGTAAATATGTATAACAATATATCCGTCACAATTATATAAAAATAAGAAAGGAATAAGTACGCATACAATTGTGCTTAAATTTTACCAAACTAAATTATGGATAGAAAGTCAATTTTGTGAGCAAAAAGACCATAATATGACCATAATTGTGTGTGTAGTCTAAACGCCCTTTAGACTTCTGACACAATTCATTGCATTTTTAAAATTACTAACTTCAAATGGTGAACCATTCTGTAGCATATATTTGACATTGTTCATGACGATAATTTCAAATTTCTTCAAGCAACATTTGTTATTGGCATATATAGAACGCAGCGTTCAAATGACCAGGCACTTTCCCATTGTAATGAACGCAAAATTACATGAACATGCTCAAAAAACACATTTTTGCACACATCACATCCAAATAAAATATATGTCATGATATATAACATGTTTGTGTTTTTGTATTCACAGAAAAGCGATGCTCGCATTATATTCACCTATAACTTTGACATGGTGTCCCATTTTTGTGAGGTAAAACAATAACTATTATATAACGTGTCACTGTTTCTTTTAAACTTATTGTTTTTTCTGCTTTTTCTTTTGCTGATGGTAACCTTGATGAATGTGCATTTTTTCAGGCATACAAAAACAAAATGTATAGTCCTCGGTATGTATGGATAACAGCTACAATGCAAACATTGAAAACTAGATATGGTAGTTATTGGTGGGAGAACGTTGATGCGGTGGACTGTACTCCGGAAGAAATTAAGACTGCAGCCCAAGGAATGATAATGTTCGCCGAAGCACCAATTCGACATGACGGGATTATGCCATCATCTGGAATTGTAAGTCTTTTGTATTTGTTGATAAATGAACATGAACTACATTGACATGCCTATTTTTAGTCTGGATCAGGATACTAGTATGAGAGCGGGTACTATTAATGTAGAATTCGTGTATATTATTCGTTATGGGAGCACTTACAGTGGCGATGCGCATTTGCCGAGTTCGAATCTCGTGTTTCATGCTCATATATATGCCTATAAGTTTGATTTATCTGTTAATTCATTCATTCACTTGTCAGTTAGTCATTACGCAGGAGACATATGCATTATAACCTCTTAATTATTAACACACATATTGATCCTTCAGACTGTCGACCAGTTCCGTGCAGAGTACAGCAATTTGTCTGCCTCACTTGGAATGCCCTACAGTGTATTTGCGGCACCAGCGTATGACAGCATATGGGCAATGGCACTGACCTTAAACGAATCAATGCACAATTTACCAGACAATAAAACCTTGCAGAATTTCACATATGATGCTTCGGATATGTCAGCTGTGTTCTTGGATGCATTTTATAACCTGAAATTTGAAGGATTGTCTGTGAGTTTGCAATACCATCTCCATTATTAAAGTTGTAATCACACTTGAATTTATACAATTCCCTTTTCAATGTACACAACACTCGCAGGAGATGCATACCGACGCGAGATTTCTCAAGCTTCCATATCCGTATAAACTCGCAACGATAATGTAGCCCGTATGGTTGCGAAGTTACCTACCGTACAACATGCAGTTTGGCAACACAAACGCAAATACAATTTTACATTCCGCATGCTATCCAGAATGCCAGCTTATCTTCAATACGACGATTTTGAACGTACTTTCATTGTGGTTTGGGTGACTTCTGGCTTTTATTGACGTGTTGTTCGGATATTTGTGGTGTGAAATTGACGATCAATGAAGCATGACACAATCTTCCTAATGTTGAGCGGTTAATGTGAGCCGTCTAGATGTAGTATATGTTACAGATTGTAGGCGGGTGTGAAGGGAGTTCTGTTTATCGTGACAAAGATTGAATCAGACTTCTAGATATGTTACGCCACTCACTTTCTTGGCGTGATCATGTGTGACGTACATGTCCAAAATTAAATACACCGTGTGGATACAAGGAGAAGGAATGACGATTAATAAAAAGAAAATACTAAAGAAAAAAACCTGTACCACCAAAAATCAAATAATGTTTTATGTATAGTTGCTGGTATAACTACTATATAGAAAAGATCGTTTTGATCGCATTTTCCCATTGTCTCATCTTTTTAATTTTTGGTTTATAGGGTCCAGTCATGTTTACCGAAACCGGTGATAGAATAGGGAGTCTTGATGTATATCAATTAGTAGGTAAGAATATGTTTCCAGCCATTAAAACAAATACAATTCGACTTCGACAATTCGTAATCTGCTCTATGCTGTTCTATATGTTTTCTGCTTCCAGATCCCAAGTTTACAATATTTAACTTTTTTTGCTTATTTAGGTGAATCTCATGTTATTATAGGAACATACTATTATGACACTGACGAATTTATTATGGATACCAATTTCTTCTGGGAAGGTTAGCAAATATATTTGTTTGAGATAAAAGCAAATTTCTTAAAGTGCGTATATAACTGAGTCGATTACATGTTTTGCCAGAGCTAACAACGGTAACCTAGTTTTCAGTTTGTGAACTATTTGGTAATAAATGTATATAATTATTCCCGTGTTTTTACCATTTTAGGTGGCGACATTCCACGTGATCACGGACTAACAGAAACACAACACGTGAAAATCAGTAATATTATTTATTATAGTGCCTGTGTTCTAATATCCTGTGGATCCATCTTAGCACTGTCATTCTTGGCTTTCAACGTGGTGCATCGACAGAAACGGTAACTCGATGTATATGACAGTCATGTGTACCAAGATTTGATAGAAACAAATAAATAGAAATACAGAAACTTATATACATTACGTGTCAGTGTAATTGCCGATTGGATACGTTGATTGCTAGGAAATTGTAGGTTGGAAACTGAGACCATCTGTCACATTTTTAATTTGTAAACTTTGTGCAAGTAATTGAATTAAAGCCCGCAAAACCATGACCACGTCTTATGACACTGTACTTGTGTTTATGCATCGCAAATTTAATTTATAACGTTTATATAATTTATATAATGAATTCAATACCGCGCATATGTTTTTTGTTTTGTTTTTGCGACGGTGTCGTCGTCAGTAATGAAATTCCGATAAATGCCGAGGAAGGTAGTCCTGTTGTATTCTGATAATGTGTAACACGAATAAATAGTGACATGGATTTACGTTGTTTATTTTTGTTATAAAGGTTTATTAAAATGTCCAGTCCAAACTTGAACAACATGATTGTTGTTGGGGCTTTATTGGTGTATATCTCAACAATACTTTTCGGATTGGAAAGTGGAGTTCATGCTCTGGCTGTTTGTCAGGTAATTAAATCTTGAAATTAAAATATTTGATACGTATACGTACGATTGTCCCTGTGCAATTCTTATATATTTTCCAGTGGCTGTTCCGTACAAAGAAGGTTTAACTTTTTTTCACAGATGAAACACTATTTACTTTGTCTTGGATTCACTTTGGGGTTTGGTTCTATGTTCAGTAAGACATGGCGAGTACATAAGATATTTACAAATAAAAAAGTCAAATCAGTGGTGAGTTTATTTAAAGTACAATATCAAATCTAACATTCACAATTACTTTTTGTATCTTTTTTATTCATTTAATTATTCAATATATTAATACAGAATTACCAGACTAACACACTGCATATACACACTTGTGAATAATATTTTAATTAATGAATAACGTATGCAAGTTCAACTGCAACGATATTCATTCTCAATTAACGATTTTCACCTTTCATTACTGTTTATCTTATAGTTATCTTATATGTTTGCACGGAATGTGATATAGAGCAGCATGACTGATTAATTTTTTTTTTTTTTGTGACATTCCAGAAAATAAATTTGCACAATTTTGTACAATTTATTTACATTAATTTTAAAATTAAGGTAGAGATGCAGTTTACCTGACAGGTATTTTAATTAGTTAATTAGGAAACCAAGATGACCGCTCTTGTCCACAAAACTATATATTTTCGGAAAGCTTATTGTATGAATTTTAAAATTGTGCATTTTTTTACGGACATTGTAATTTGAAATATGCACAAAAATGTGTTTTTTTGGTCAAAAGTGATTTAAAAAAAATAGCTTCTGAACCATGCTTCTGTTTCCTGTCAAAATTGGTTTATGGGTACATCTGTTTACTATGAAGAAAGTGCCGTCTTGAAAACTGTCTACCAGTTGTCAATTTTGTAGGGCAGCAGCTCAAATTTCACTACTTCAAATTTATGCATAAATTAACCCACAGGCTAGTTGTCTGTAAGATTGTTGTAACACTGTTCAGCCAAAAACAATGCCCCGACGGCGTTTTGAAGATAAACACATTGTCAATAATTTGTGAAAATTTCAAAACAAAAGGTCAAAGCGTCTAGGAGCTATTTTTTCAAAGTTCTGGGATGTGCACTAAAAAGAAGCTGAGATAATTGCTAATTAGCATAACAATTCACTCAGTAAGAAGTTTGCTAATGCTCATAATTAAAATGGCTGCAGCAGTTCCAAATGTAAATGTATTATCGTTTTGTTAAAAGTTAAATATAGTGCATAATATGGAGATCCCGTCATTTCTTTTTTTCACCATGTTTCTTTTTTACTATTTATGTACAGCCTTACTAATAAATCTTGCTAAGCATTTAAAAGAGAGAATGTTTTCATCTGTTATCTATATTTTAAAATCGTTTTTTGAGTATGTTCCACTATTCACAATTCTACCAACTTTTAACAGTCTATAGCAAAGACTGTTTAGATAATAAAAAAAAATCACT